TTATTGTAGAGATGAGGTCTCGCTGCCCAGGCGGCTCTCAAACCCGCGGGCTCAGGCAATTCACTCACCTCATCCTCCCAAAGGCGCGGGATTACAGGCTGAGCACCGAGCCCGGCCATCTGTTGTTTTTTGTTTTATGAATGATGGTCATCCTTACTGGAGTTAGGTGGTATCTCAGTGTGATTTTGATTTGCATTTTTCTGATGATTAGTGAGGCTGGGCACTTTTTCATTTATCTCTTGGCTGTTCCTATGTCTTCTTGTGAGAAGTGTCTATTCATGTCTTTTGCTGACTTTTTAATAGGGCTCTTTGGTTTTTTTTCCTTTCAGCACATTTGAGTTCCTTGTAGATCCTGGTTATTAGGACTTTGTCAGACATACAGTTGGCAAATATTTTTTCCCATTCTGTGGGCTGTTTCCCCCTCTTGATGGCTTCTTTTGCTTTTACAGAAGCTTTTCAATTTGATCCCTTTCTCTTCTTCTGTCTTCCAGATTTGATATCACACATGCCATTTTTTTCTTTCTAGCCTCAGACAGCAAGAAAAGAATAATAATGTATCTTTTCACGCAAGAAAAAATATGCACCACATTACGTTTCAGTCAATGATGGACCACATATTCAGCAGTGGTTCAGTAAGATTGTAATACCACATTGTAATACCTCTTCTATATTTAGATATGTTTAAACATGCACATACTTACCATGGTGCTACAACTGCCTACAGTATTCAGTGCATCACATACTGTACAGACTTATAGCCTAGAGCAATAGGCTAGACCATACAGGTATGCAGTAGACCCCACATCTAGGCCTGTATAAGGACATTTCTTCGTTTTTGTTTTATTTTTTATTTTCATTTTTGAGTTGGGGGGTCTCACTCTGTCACCCAGGCTGGAGTGCAGTGGCAAGATCATGGCTTACCACAGCCTCAACCTCCTGGGCTCAGGTGACCCTTCCACCTCAGCCTTCCAAGTTGCTGGGATTACAGGCACAAGCTACCAAGCCTGGCTAATTTTTTAAAAAAATTTTGTAGAGATGAGATCTTGCCATTTGCCCAGGCTGGTCTCAAATTCCTGGGCTCAAGCGATCCTCCCACCTTGGCCTCCCAAAGTGCTGGAATTACAGGCATGTGCCACCGCAACTGGCCTTAAGTAAGTACATTCGCTAATGTTCACACAACAATGAAATTGCCTAGCAATGCCTTTCTCATCGTTAAGCAACATGCTGTCACTATGTACTGACATTAGGAAGGTGTGATGGAAAGAAAAAACAAAGCATTTGGCAAATACCTATTCTATTCCAGACTAGATGTTCAGCACACTTTATGCCCCTTGGTTCTCAAAAATCAAGTGAAAGCTTTTTTTTAACCTCCATTCTACAGCTGAGGAGACTAACACGCAGTCCTGGATTGGTAGCACCATGAGGAAATGGCGGGGCCTGGATTCTAACCTACATTGAGACTCTAAAGTCCTACTTATCGCTGGAACCTTAGGACAAATATATGGACTTTGCAGCAACTTGAATGGATTTGGAGTCAATCATACTCAGTGATTTATCACAGAAACAAAGAATAGAGTTCCATATATTCTCACTCATAAGCAGATCTTGAACAATTATAAGGCTCTAAGAAAGTGATGGGCAGTAGTGGGAAACTGTCAGGGATGGGGGGATGGGATTGGCAGTTGAGGGAAACTGCTAGGGGAGGGAGGGGCACACCTCATCAACAAGGGTACCTGCATAATCGACGTTTGTATACCTAACCCTGAATTGCACCCCACATCTTTATAATAAAAATTTTTTTAAAAACAGACTTCAATCCTACTCATGGATCACACACACATGTCTTCCTAGCCAGACGTGACCATTCCTCGCCGGTTAGCATTGACTATCCTCAACCACTGTAATGCCGGCTAGCTCTCTCTTCCCTCAGGCCATTTCCTCGATGACACATAAAAGTTTGGAATTGAGGGTCCAGGTTTTACCTGAGGCTCAACTCCTACTTCTACCCTCGGCTCCCAATTATTGAGTGCCTATTGTATGCCAGATGACCTAAGCTTTGTGTCCACAATCCAGTGGGCTCCTTCTGACAACCTCAGGGGCAGGCATGATCATCTGCACTTTACAGAAAAAGGAAACTGAGACCTGTGAAGTCAAGTAACTTACCCAAACAAAGGACCACAGGTGGTAAGTGACATATCTCAAAGTCAATGCAGGCCAGTCTACATCAGTGTCAGAGTTCTTTTTTTAATTATTATTTTAGTTTCAGGGAGATACACAAGCATGTTCATTAAATGGACATATTGTCGAGTGGTGGGGATTGGGTCTCAGGTGGCCCAGTTGCCAGAGGATGAACACTGTACCCCACAGATCATTTCTGAACCCTAACTCCCCTCACTAGCTCCCCCCTTATTGGTGTCTTTGGTGTCTGTTATTTCCATCTTGGTGACCATGTAGCTCCCATATATGAGTGAGAACATGCAGTGTTTGGTTTTCTGTTTCTGAGTCCGTTCACTCAGGATGGTCATCTCCAGCTCCATCCATGTGGCTGCAAAGAACATGATTTCATTCTTCGTCTGATTGTGTAGTAGTCCATGGTGTATATATACCACATTTTCTTTGTCCAGGCACTTGTTGGCGGGCACTTAGGTTGGTTCCATAATTTTGCTATTGTAGATAGTGCTGTATGTAAGTACAGGTATGTTTTTAAAATATTGATTTATTTTCCTTTGGGTAGATCCCTAGCAGTGGGATTGTTGGCTCAAAAGGTAGTTCAACTCAACACACACACACAAAAATAGGCCGGATGTGGTGGCTCAAGTCTGTAATCCCAGTACTTTGGGAGGCTGAGGTGAGGGGATTGCCTGAGCCCATGGGTTTGAGAACAGCCTGGGAAACTTGGCAAGACCTCATCTCTACAATAAACCAAAAAATTAGCCAGGTGTGGTAGCGTGCACCTGTAACTCGGCTGCTTGGAATGCCGAGGTGGAAGGATCACCTGAGTTCAGCAAGTTGACGCTGGCATGGCCATGAGTGTGCCACTGCACTCCAGCCTGGACAACGGAGTGAGACTCCAACCCAAAATAATAATCATAACCCCATCAAAAAGTGGGCAAAGGACATGAATAGACACTTCTCAAAAGAAGACACAGAAGCAACCAACAAACATATGAAAAAAAATACTCAGTATCACTAATCATCAGGGAAATGCAGATTAAAGCCACAATGAGATATCATCTCCCATGATTGAGAATGGCCATGATTAGAAAGTCAAAGAACAAGAGATATTGGCACAGTTGCAGAAAAAAGGAACCACTCACCCATTGTAGGTGGGATTGTAAACTGGTTCAATCTCTGTAGAAAACAGTATGGGAGATTTTTTTAAGGAACTAAAAATTGAACTACCAGTGTCAGAGTTCTTAAGCTCCATAAACCACTACCATCAAGAGGACTTTGTTTCCTCCCCTGCAAAAGGTAAACCAATAACACCTGCCTCTCAGGGTGACTGTGGGGGTCCAAAAAGAGCGTGATGTGAAAATATTTCTCGACTGTGAATTGCTACTTGCACTTAGAACTGACTAAAGCAAAGGCAGGGACAGCTCAGCAGAGACATCACATGACGCCAACTCCTCTTGACAACCAATCTACATTCTGGGCTGGGAATTCAAAACCCAAAATGACTGGGAAGCCATTGATTCCTCAGGGGTCCCCAACCCCTGAGGCCACGGACTGGTATCAGTCCATGGCCTGTTAGGAACCGGACCCTACAGCAATAGGTGGGCGGCCACTGATCCGAGCTCCGTCTGCTGTCTGCTCAGTGACAGCATTACATTCTTGGAGGCGCTGCAAACCCTATTGTGAACGGTGCTTGCGAGGGATCTGGGTTGCCCGCTCCTTGTGAGAATCCAATGCCTGATGACGATTCCCCCTCGCCCCACCCCCACTCCCAACCGTGGAAAAACGATCTTCCATGAAACCGGTCTCTGATGCCAAAAGGGTTGGGGACCGCTGAATTTTAAATGATCCATTATCCCT